TTGAGTGGAGTCATTTAGAGAATGGCATGTATCCAGGTTACTAAATTTGTCAATGTTGCTCTGAGATTGAATTAGGAAAATTCCCACTGAGTTCTGGACCTCTTGATTTGTAATCTTCTTTAAGTTAGAGTTGCAGAAATATCATGGATTCCTACTTTAAAAATAACTTTCTTTTCTTTGTAAAAATAATTCAGACTAATTGTAGAAATTTGGGTAAATAGCAGAAGGCATAATGCTGAAAATTACCCATAATCCTTCTTCAGAGATAATCACTGTAAACATTTTGTTGTATTTGCATGTATTTTTATATGCATAATTAGGATCATTGTGTATAAATTTTGTTTCTTCTTATTCCATTTAATATATGAATACTTTTTCTTGTGTTGAGAGCAACATGGACTTGTATTAGTTTCCTGTTGCTGCTGTAATACATTTCCACAAACGGGGTGGCTTAAAATAACAAATTTATTCTCATAGTTTTGGAGGCCAGAAGTCTGAAATCAAGGTATCGGCAGAACCGTGCTTCATGTGCACAGACTCTAGGGGAGAATCCGTTCCACTCCTTGCTCTCCCAGCCGCTGGTGCTGCCAGCATTCCTTGGCACGTGGTCTTGTCATTTGTATATCTGCGTCAGTTTTCACAGTGTGCGTCTGTGTGTTTGTGTGTGTGTAATCTGCCTTAAAGGACATGTGAATTTAGGTCCAGTCTAGATAATCAGGAATACAGCTTTATCTCACAATTCTTGACTTAATCACGTCTACAAAGACCATTTTTCCACATAAGATAACATTTCCAGGTTTCAGGGTTGGGACTTGATGTGGTTTGGCTGTGTCCCCACCCAAATCTCATCTTGAATTGTAGCTCCCATAATTCCCACGTGTTGTGGGAGGGAACTGGTGGGAGATAACTGAATCATGGGGGCAGTTTTCCCCATACTGTTCTTGTGGTAATGAATAAGTCTCACAAGATCTGATAGTTTTATAAGGGGAAACGGCTTTTGCTTGGTTCTCATCATCTCTTGTCTGCCACCATATAAGACGTGCCTTTTGCCTTCCACGCCATTGTGGTTGGGGAGGCCTCACAATGGAACTGTGAGTCCATTAAACCTCTTTTTCTTTATAAATTACCCAGTCTTGGGTGTGTCTTTATCAGCAGTGTGAAAATGGACTGATACAGGATCTGACCTCTCTGGGGCCATTATTCAGCCTTCTACGGGGTTCTAGACAATGGACTCTGGAGCCAGACTCTATGGGATGTAATCCTAGTGCCTTACTAGCAGAATAACCTTGAGCAAGTGCCTTAACTCTCGATACCTCTGTTTCTGATCTGTAAAATGGGAATAATAATACTTACCTCCTTGAGTTGGTATACAAAATACAAAGATTAATATGTACAGAACACCTAAAAAGCTCAGATTAGTGACTGGCCTGTGTAAGGAGTAGCTGTTATTATTGTAGTTGTTATTTTTATTAACAATTCTTTGTCAGATGCCATTTTTAATGGCTGCATAAGAGTTTTTAAATGAATCTACCATAATTTGTCTAATTATATCCTTTTGTTGGAAAAGTTTCTTTTTCATTTTTTATCTCAGGTATGATGTTGCCATGTAGCATTAAGTTTTGTTCCACTTTATTCCTTAGTGTAGAGTTCTGAAAATGGAATTACAATGTCAAAGGATGTGTACAGTTTTAAGCCGCTTAATGAGAATTTGTTAAATTGCTTTCCAGAAAGTTGAATGATGAGAGTACCTGTTTTATCATAGCCATACCTGTTACCGCATGTTACCATTTTCAATACTCTGAGGTCCTTTGGCATAGTCAGCCCTTTAAGGCTGAAGTGTAACAGCATAGGGCCCCTACACGTTGTGGTTCATTCAGTGAGGAGTATTCTGACCATGCAAGACAACCTCTAACACAAAATGACATCCTTGCTTTGTGAAATCACCCAAGTGCCTTCTCCATTCTGTTATGAAGCCTGGAAACTTGCTGGGTGTTTTTGAAGTTAGTGGGAGGGCTGTTGGGGGAAAGGTTGTTACTAGCAGGGTAATGCTAGGTTTACAGGGACTTCAGTAGCATAGTTTTGCTTCTGTTCTCAAATGTGGACATTTAAAACTGAGCATTTGATGGGATGAGGAAGGTACATTTGAACAGAAAACAGATTAATGTAATCGCTTTGCAACTAAGGCCATGTGAGGGACAGGAGTATGGGGTGGGGAAGGGGAAGCTCCTGCATTGTCTGCCAGATTATCTGGGAGATCAGCCCTGGGAAAGGCTAAGGGAACAGTCTGCATCTGCACTTAACCCCATAGGTCACCTGCTAGCCTGCTCTCCTTTCTTGATGCTGCCCATTGCAGTCTGGTCCTGTGCAGCCCAGGCCTCTGGGCTGTAGAGAGGCATAGCAGGGGTTCCGAGTGTGTGTGCTCAAGGGAACCTGCTTCAGTTGAGGTCATCTGGTCCACTGCTGTTCAGGCTATTTAGAAACACAGGGTGGGCTGTGTTTCCCCAGTGGAAATGTACAGTATGCACCATGTGCAGCAGGTCATGCACAAATTCAACAATACCCAAACCAGCTGTAGTTGGCTAAATGGTGGCCCCAAAGATGTGCTTAGATTAGAACATCCCTGGAACCTATAAATGTTAATTGGAAAAGGGGGCTTTGGAGATATGACTAAGTAAGGATCTTGAGATGAGATCATCGTGGATTATTTGTAGGCCCTAAGTGCTGTCACAGATATTCTTAAAAGAGAGAAGCAGAGGGAGATTTGACACAGAAGAGAAGGCAGTGTGCCAAGAGGAGAAGGCATCTGTCAAGATGGAGGCAGAGGTCGGAATGATGTGGCCACAAGCCAGGGAATGCGAAGCCACCAGAAGCTGGAAGCAGTGAAGAACGAGTTCTCCCCTACAGCTTCCAGAGGGAGCATGGCATTGCCTATTCCTTCATTTCAGACTTCTGACCTTCAGAACTAATACATTTCTTGTTTTAAGCCATCCAGTGATAATTATGGCAGCCTCAGGAAACTCGTATACTAGTCTGTGCCCTGTCCAGGACAGTTCCACTGTTTATGTGCTTGGCTCTGTAGCAATATCATATTGCTAGAAAAGCTTCTGAGCACTTACTCCCAATTTTTGTATTTATCTGGTCCTGACCCAGCAGCAGAGTTGGCACTGGTTTGCAGAACCCCTGTTGAGTACCACTGATCTAGTCTCCATCATTTTATGAATGAAGAAACTGAGGCCCAGTGAGAGGAAGTACTGTAGGTTTGGGACACGCAGCAGGTGCCTCTGCTCCTTGGAATATTTAGACAGGGCCAGATCTGGGGAGAGCAGATAGCAGAGTTGCCCTTTGGAGGCCAGCTGGTGTCCCTGTCGCTGTTCTGTACCCTGTTTGGTGAAAGCTGATGCTTCAGTGAGCCTCTGGAGCAACAAGCTGCTCAGAAGGCCTAGAAACTGGGGCAAAATAGTAGAGCCTTTGCTGCAGCTACTGAGCCAACAGCAGCAGGCAAAGAACCCCATCAAGGGTAGAGGTCATGGCTTGCTAATGACTTAATTTCCTGATGACTGCTTCAGTCTTTATAGACCCTCTGGCTCAGGTCATATTTTTCCTCTGGAGCCCAATTTGAACTTTCCATATTTTCAGAATGGTAATTATCTCTTAGGGAATGGGGACTAGACTACATGCTGCTTTGATAAAGTCCAAACTCCTTTACTTGGCATTCATGACTCCTGAATAACCAACTCCCTTCCCCTTTCCAGTTCTGCGTCCCATCCCTCCCTTTTACCTACCTTAATCTCTGGACTTCACCAAAATCAGTGCTCCCTAGTAGAAGAGAGTACAAGATGTTAGGTTCTTAAGTCCCCACAGTAGGTAAGTTCGTGATTGCCCAACTCAGGAACTAATGAAAAAATATGGCGAGGATAGAGGTTGGGCATCCATCTGTGAAGCTCTTGGGGGGATAAAAAAAAAACAACAACTGTTTACATTTACTGCAAGAGAATATAAAGGCAGCACAGCAGCCAGTACCAACCACTAACATGAACAAAGTCATGTGAGACCACCTGGCCCAGTGGAGCAACCAGATGCCCATAGCCACATACATAAGCCAGGCAAGACCAGAAGAAAAAGCCCCGCTGAACTCAGCACTGATTGCTGACCCACCACACCTTGAAATGAAATGTCTTTTTTTTTTTTAAACAAAACAAAATCACAGTAAACCAAGATTTATCTTTACATATATTAGTAATGATAGGCATTGTACCATTACTCAATTATGTTTTGCTTGTTATGGACACTTTTTGGAGCCTCCCACCTTTTTATTTTCAACGAAACTCTTATTTATTTTGCTTTATGAGTAATACCCATATTAAAAGCCCCTTTCCCCCAGTATCTGGGCTTCCAACTTAATATTTAATGCCACTGAGGTTTTGAGTTAATTTGTTGGCTGTCCTTTGTGGCTCTCACACATCTCTTCCTTTCCTCTCTGATGTTATGGGACAGTAGTTCGGATGCCTGGGTCACTTTCTCATCATCTTTTATTTTTCCCAAGGCTTTGGTTTAAAAGCCTCTGTTCCTTCACCTTCCACTTTCGTTTCTTTTTCTAGTCCCAAACCTGTATCCCTCGTTTTTAAATCAGTGGTTTTTGATTGCAGGGAATAGCCATGCTCTCATGGCAGCTTAAGTTAGCAGTGAGTTTGTTGTAGTAATCCCAGGAATACAAGGAGCAAAGCTTGACTGCCTGCTGGAGTGGGAAGGCCCCTCTAACTCCACGCAGGGGCTGCGTGCTCCTGCCCGTCACACACATGCACGCGTGTGCCAGTGTATCTGTCTCTGTCCCCTTCTGGAGCAGGACGGTGATAAGTGTCTATCCCTAAGCCAGTTGGGAGAGGGGGACCGTGTGACTGTCCTTTCAGCATGGGCTGAGGGGCTGGGGAGTCCCAAAAAGGAGTCTGTGGAGGGATACCTTCCCAGCACCTATGATATCTTTTCTTCTAATTTCTCAACAGGAATAACTCAAGTCACCCGTACGGAAAATCAGTTTGCTGAAATTATTCAATCAACGATTCTTGAAGTTGAAGAAAAGGTAAACATTCTCTTATAAGGGAAACTCATTGTCTGGGGAGAGGTTACTGTCCCTGTCGTTCTTCCCATATGCCCAGTTTTGTGTGTAATATTTTACCCCTTCTCTCTGCCTGGCCAAGTTCCTCTTCATCCCTCAAGATCTTTATCAAATGCCACCTTTGTCCTTTGTGGAAGATCTCCTCCAGGCTGGGGGTGATTTCTCCTGCTGTTGAACCCCCACAACACTTTCACCTTCCTGTGACGTTTGTGTTCTCGTTTGCCCTTCCCCTGATGGTCTCACCCTTCCTCTCTTGGCCGGTCAGGTAGAGGTCCGTGACACACCCCCCATCATAGTACTTACCTCCACACTTTATTCTCGTTGCCTGTTTTTGTGTTTTCCCCAGTAAGCTCCTCGAGGGCGCATCTGAATTGTGCCTGGGACACAGTCGGTACTCCATAAATGTTTCTCGAATGACTAATATAGGAGCCTCCCCACAAGAGGCCTGCTCCTGTGTGGACCCACATCATACCCCCACCACGCCTCCCTTACTGTCCCTTACTAGAAATCATTCTTAAATACATTATGATCTTTGAGCATTCATCCGAAATTCCTGATCTTCTCCAGGTGTCCTTTGGCTATTGATGAAATGAAGCTAATAGCAAAGCTTTGGTATCTGATTCTTTTTTTTTCACATTCGATTTTGGGCCGATGTTAAGAGCAGGAATCCAGAAGTGGAGAGGAAGGTGACAGGCAGAGCTAGATGCCAGTGGTCCCTGGAGCACAGCTCCCCAGCCCGCTTCCACCCCTTGTGGCGGGTGTGAGTGGGGGTTGCGTGTGGTGGGGTTTAGCTCTCGCTGTGGTTGTGGCCCCTCCTGTCTGCTGCACCAGTGGATCACCTTCTCCATCTGTGCCATGCTCTCGACTGCTTCACTCAGTGACTTTGTGTCTTAATCCACCTCCCTGCCCCCAGCCTTTGTCTTTTAAATGAACAAGTCAGCAGGTTCCTTTTCTCACACTGTTTACTGTAACAGCTAAAGATCCCAGAAAAGTTTCTTGTTAATTTTATGAGTTTATGCATCATAGCCAGAGAGATAAAGCATAGATCGTGGGTGTTCCCAGAGACACAAATTTCCAGAGATTGTTTTGCGTATTCATTTGCACATTGTTGTCTGGGTTGGACATGTGTATTGGGCTTCAGTGTGAGGCTTTTAATATGTATATCCTGTTATCAATAAAAAAATTATCCAAGCGGTTGAATCCTGTGAGACTTCGCGAGTGTGTGCAAATCAAAGTATACTTGACTTTTCAACCTCTTCTTTCAATGTAACTTTTATACAAAATAAATAATCAATTGACAGTTCTCAAAAAAAAAAATCAGTGTAGTTGGTCACCATCATCTTGGAAGACTTGACTCAGCCCTTTCTGCCTGTAACAGTAACCAGCAATTGTCTCTCACATTGGTAGAGTGCTTTCTCTTTTGCAAGGTGCTTTGACACACATCGGCAGATTTGCTTTTCCTGCCAGTCCTGGGAAGCAGGCAGAGGCGAGTGGGAACCTCTCATTTTCAAAGTCAGGAAATAAGCTCAGAAGTTCGATGTCTTGCATAACGTCATGAGCTGATGTGAATGGGGTTCAGTTTTTCCCACCCCATCTCATCTTGGTCCCTCTCCTTTGGAAGCCATGGCAAACTAATAGTGTCACAAAACCATCTCTTCCCCACCCTCATTGTTCTTTGAGGGAGGGGAGTCTTGACCTTCTGTTGAGAGTCTGACCCTGGTGCTCCCTCCACCCTCAGCCAGGCAGCTCTCTTGAAAAAGCAGGTATGTTCCTCCTGAAACCTTCCAGTCAGTCTTGAAAGTTTTGTTTTTGTTAAGGCTAATTTAAATACAAGAAATTTAATTAGTTTACATGAATGCTGTATTGTCTTACTCTGAGTAAACTGGAAGACACTAACAGGTTTGATCAGCTTAATTCAGCTGTATCTGATGATGTTCTTTCCCTTTCTTCTCTTTTAAATAACTGCAAATGGTTTCCATCAATCAAGGCAGCAGAGCACAGTGCTTTATTGCCATGTGGAATTGTTTAGTTAACTGTGATTTTTAAAAAATGGCTCAACTTTTAATGAAAGAGCGGATTGTCAAGTGACTTTTTGATTTGTCCTTTGATGGGGAAATGGGAAAATAGAACCATCATAATAAAAAACCAGCTTCTATTCTAGAAGGGAAGCTATTAACTTAAGAGCAGGATATGATTTCAGTGAATTGCTCTTTTCCTAAAACAGGCCACTGTCTCTCGTCTTTTTATTTTGAGACCTTCCTCTGATACTCTTTTAGATTAACATTTTCCTATGGGAAACTGTAACCTGGAATCCCCCAAACAGGTTGGTGCTCCCCATAGTGTAAGCACTGGGGCCCAAGACCAGATACCAACACCCTTTTACTGGGAATCCGAAACATCAATATCGAGAAATCTGCAAGCCTATTGTGATGCTTGTAATCAAAGGAAACATCAGGCTTCACATTTTACTTACAGTTGTGGCATGATGCAAGCACCATTTTACTGTTAAAGTTATTGTTTTCTTAACCCCAAAGCTGGATCTTCATTAGTGAGGATCCTCATAGAGCTACCCACATGGGGTAGCCTCTATGGGGTCCCAGGTGGGGTCCCAGGTGCTCCTTAGTGGTTGCGCCCACCTTGAATTGGCACAGTGGCAGGACCTCCGAGCATCATGAGAGGATGGACAAGGGTCACCTCTGAGGCTGGCCCGAGGACTCCTCTGTGTTCTGTAGCATTCTTACACCCTTTTTACAGTTAGCAAACTTGATATCTCATGGGCACCTCAAGCTTACTGTGTCCAGATTTTAACTCTTGGTCTGCTTCTACTATAGTCCCTTTCTAGGCCTCCTCCCTTCCCTCATCTTATTAAGGTGCATAGTTGTTAACTCACTTAGTCAAGCCAGAAACTGGGAGTTCATCTGTTAATACTCGTCTTTTTCTTCCTCCAAATCACCAAGTCCTAATGCTGCCTCTCCTAAAGTGGATATTGAGTTCATCCATGGCCTTCCTGTATCCACCCCCAAGTCCAAGCCAACATCATCCTTTGCCAAGTGACTGCCAAAGCCTTTTAACTGGCTGCCCTGCCTGCTTCTGTTTTTCTTCTGTTCCTGTCATCACTTTGGACCCAATGCAATCTTTAAAAATTCTTGTCAAATCATTTCACTACCTTGCTTGAAACCTGTTGGTGACCTCATCCTGCACTTGATGAAACACATAAGCCCAGTGCAGCTCGTGGAGAGGACTGCTCTGTCTGGGCCCCAGGCCTGGCTTCAGAGGCACAGCATTGTTGGCACCACGTTGTTATAGCTTGTGAGACACTCTCCGCTTCACTCTTGGCTTCCTTGGAAGATTGCAGTGACTTCACTTTTCCAGACGCAATAAAATATCTCAAGCTCTCAAAGGTGTACCTAGAATGAATATTGTGTTCTGGGAAATGGAACAAGGGGTGATTTGTTCCTCCAGACACCAGAATAACAATTCCTAGAACACAGAGGTGGACCACTATTTCATTTGGAACCTTAATAAGTTAATAGCCAATAAGTAATCAACTGAAATTGCAATACTCCTTGCTACTCCCCAAGCAACCTCCCCACCCTCCACGCACATATTTTGACATAAAAATGTGCAGCAGCATTTTAGCTCAGGAAATCTTGAATGAAACTTGGTTCTAGGTTGGTACAAGAAAAGACTGGCATTCTAGTATACAAGGGAAAAAGAAAGCTAAATATTAGCATACAGCTTTCCTTTTTAAATATGTTTCTCCTATCTTGAAGCCGATTTGTTTTCCTTAGTCTTGAGCTTTACTCTTATGTGTGTGTGTGCGTGTGCAGCCATGCACACACCTGTAAAGCACGTACCTGAATTTCATCTTAGGCATGATACTCTCCATTCTCAGGCCTTCCCCAAGGTAATTAATGTTAATACTGACATTCCAGCTGGATGTTTGGTACACTGTGGCCTCAAGACAACTTTTCTATGATCTCGAAATTGAAATGTTTTAAGATATGAGTTTGGTGGGTCCCCCTGATGAGTTACAGCAAAGATTGTAATGGGAATACTAGCAAAGGTGATTTTAATAGTGTCATGAGCGTTGTGATAGAGTTTATTACCCAGAGTCATGGGAACACAGAGATGGCCCCTCACTCACCCTGGGGAGTGGAAAGTCATGTGACCCTTGAGATGGGTCTTGAAAGAGATGCCAAGTACCAAGTGCTTATTACTTTTTTGCCAAGCAGAAGGAAGGCTTGGGAGAACAGGGGTGCAAAGGGCATTTCAGACAGCTGCATGGAGAAAGGCCTGGGAGGTCAGCTAGAGCATGGCATGCCAGAGAACCCCGAGGAGGGTCGCTGCTGCAGTGGAGGGCATGGTGGGATGGGAGTTGAGCGCAAAAGGTGGGCAGGAGCCAGATCATGCAGGTCCTTCCTTGGGGACCAGGTTAAGCAAGGGATTTGGATTTTGTTCTAAAGGCAGTGGAATGCCACTGTAGAATTAAATATTAGGGAGTTACTGGATTGGGTTTGTTTTTTGCAATAGGGATTCTGTAGGCATGGTCTGTACTAAGACTTCTCCTGAAAGTCAGTGATCTGATTCAGATATGCAACTCCTTTTATTAGTTCTAATGGGTGTGAAACTTAAAATTCCACAGACTTGCACGTTTTAGGTGTGACCGTAGGCTGGATGTTGCTAAGTGACTGACGTGTGATTGGTGTTTAGTGCCCTGCTGGAGTTTCTGGATGATTGTACTGCCCTGAGTTGCCATGCTCAGCAGTGGGGCATTCCAGGTGCCTGCTGAGTACGGACACAGGCAGTTGGATTCCTGCTGGTTTTGGAAATGGCACTCTGACAGTGCAGCGTCAGTGAGGTCTTGAATTTGTGACAGCAACTGAAAAGTTGCTGGGAATCTAGAGGTCTAATTATACTGTTAACTTGGCTTTCTCATTATTTGGTTAACATGATTTGGTTGG